CCCCAAAACCCCAAAACCCCAAAACCCCAATTTGGAAAGACATTTTAAGAAATTAAGTAAATTTGAATGAAAATTAGTTAGTATAGAATATATTCTTGTTACCTATTACTCTAGATTTAGAAAGTCAGAAATAAAATCATAGACTATCCTCTTCTTATTTTCCTTATAATTTATTAAACTATGCATCTGCCTAATCCTGCTTTAGCTTAGTTCTCATAAATGGAGGAGTGAAAGTATCTCTTTTCATGAGCTAATTGCCTAAAATGTTATCGAATTGGTTATAAGTATTTGAGCCCAGTGTATTTTACATTTCAAAGTCTTCATTATAAAGGTTTTATCTCACACCGCCATCTTTTTCACTAATCAAATCCTCTAGGTCTAATGATAATCTATCGAAATTATCAGTAGTCATTCCTATCATTCCCTTATTATACTGATTTTATAGACTTTCTCTGTATTTAATCTTTGGAGATCCATAATTAAAATTATGAGTATTTTAGCGGTCATTGCCGGTATTGGCTGTTTAAGTGATTTACTCTTAGAAAATATCTTCCTATATAGAACTTTCTGTATGTTTCCAATTCTCATTTACTTCCTAGAGTTCACTAGAGTTATTGAATTAATGATTGAAGTGTTGATTTGCATAAACTGAATTAAAACTATTTTGCTTTTACTAATTGATGCTTGGGAGTTTGACGTCTGAGATTTTTTAAACTTTCACAGGAATATGTTTAACTGAAGAAAGTACCTGAATATTCCCATTGCCTTGCTTGGAGCTATTAATCACACTGCTGGTTGTTTCAATTTATATGCTTGCTTTTGTTGTTGTAACTATTGTGGGCTAGTATGAATTAAGTTGCTCTTGTTTAGCATTTTTAATATGACGATTAGACTCTTACCGATTCCTAGAGGAATTGATATCATGAGACAGCTTTCTAGTATTATCTGTAGAACCGTCCCAGCCTTTCATTTCCTCGCTTACATCTTTAGGTCTAGACCTAACATTTACATCTTTCATAATCTAATGAAAATTCTTATTCTTGTACCTATTTTGGAATTTTTCCTTTTGATCATTATCTTTGTTGTCCTTATCATTATTGAACAGCCCTCCAGAATATTTTAGCAATTTATCATTTTGCCTATCTACCGAGTAGTTCTATTAATAGTCCAATTCTTTCAAGCTTGCCTTTCCATATCTATTTTAATGAAGTGGGGGTTTATCTATGGTCTAAATCTAAGGTAGAAGCTGGTTCGACTTGTATATATTTGTCGCTTGCTCATCTTTAGAGCTTACATTTTAATATATGTTACTATTCGTAATTTTCAAATTAGTATGAGAATATCTTGTGGACTAATTTCTCATTTTTCCAACCTAGATATTTGGAATTATGTTGTGATTTGAGCCATATTTATTTATGAGGATATTGTTTTAATCAATAGTTGGAAGCTTTAGCTCTTGTGATTTGTAAATGGTCATTTGTGAATCTCTTCTCTTATCATTATCATTCAAGTCATAGGATTATGATTGGTATCTCTCCTCAATTATCATATTGTTTGCTACAGAGTCTGTAGGATATCTGTTAGGATTAAATTTGCTATTCTTTGAGTATTTATAATTTTTAATCTCTCCAGAGCTCAGAGGGTAGACCTCATCATTGCTTAAACTCTAAAGTGTCACGTCTCTAGATCTATTCATATCCTTATTCTGATCTTCGTAATGAGAGTTCTTAGAATTATTTATGATTCCAATTATATCTTTGGCTTTAAACACCTTGTTTTACTTTATAGAAGGAGGATGCTTAGGAATATAGTCATTACTTCCGATGGAGGATATTTCTACTTTATTGAGAGCATTTTACAATCTGGGAGATTAATTGATAGCTTGAAAAGGCTTTCCAATCGGATTAAGTTTAGGACTATTCTATTTTGCATCTTTCAAATCACTGCTATTACCTCTTGGATTTCTTGTCTCAGGAAACCTATCTTTCAATAGTTTAGATAAGGCTTCATAGTTGAATATATGATTCATATAGACTCTACACTTTCTTGGAAAATTCAGTGAGTCGGGTATATCCTAAATATTATTCATATTTGCACCCAACATAATCTCTTCTGTCATTGGATCATAATTGGGTATCTACTTTCTTGATAACATTACTCTTCTCAGTTTGAAAATCCCATGTATTTCAATTCTTGTGATCTATCTGAATTCAAAATTACTAAAAAATTTCTCTGATAGTTCACCCACATCTATGCACATGTTTTTCCATATTTATGGATTATGATCAATCTTTGGAAATTTGGCATGCAAAGGAGTGATCAGTAAATCCTGCTTGTTTATCGTACTTGATATTAATCTTCTTGTGTTCTAAAGTTGTGTTGAAAATACTATTACTAATCTTACTTAAGAAGCATCTTTCACTGATATCTCAATCTTATAGTATTTACCTTCCTATGGCAGCATAATTTGCATAATCAAATATCTTTTTGCCTCAAATGACTTCGAAATGTTTGATTTTGAGGGAGCTTTTTAACCTAACTTTAACAGATCGAGGACAAATGTATTTTAAACAGCCTCACTATTCAGGATGTTGCAACTGACTGATTAATCGAATTCTTTCTTCATGTTTCCATTAATTATCCCCAAGTCATAAAGCTACTTATCTGTTTAGATAAGGAATTTATTGGAATATAATTACTTTAAGATGCCCATATTTCAACCAAAGAATCAGTGTTATATTAAAACATTTTTGTCAAATTATTAAATAGAATACTCAGATTCTAACAAAGAAAATGGATTCAGGGGTTTTGGGGTTTTGGGG